GTGGGCTGCCGGCTGCCGCATCAGCTGGCGCCGGAGGCGGCTGCATGCCAGGCCCGTCTGCATCCGATGGTGCGGGTGGCGGAGGGCCGGCGCTCCCTGCGCCGTCGGGCGGAGCGGAAGGCAGGCTGCCTGCCGGCGGTGGCTGCTGTGCTGCAGGGGATGGCGGTGGCGGGGAGGGTGGTGGCGGGGAGGGAGGTGGCGGGCTGGGTGGAGGCGGGACAGGTGGTAGAGGCCAGGGCGAGGGAGGCACCTGGCCGCCTGCCGTGGGAGGCGGCGACGGCACCAGCCAGTCGTGTGGCAGCGGCGGGACAGGCGGGGAGCTGTCTGCTGCGGGGGGCGGCATGCCAGCTGGAGGCTGCGCCCAGCTGTCTGGCACAGCGGGTGCCGGTGAGGGCGGCGGCGGCGGCTGCCCTGCCTGCTCCGCCAGCCCAGGGCCGCCGCTCGTGGCGTTTACAATCAGACCCGAGCACTCGCTGGGCCAGTCCTGCACACACAGGGCAACACACATCGAGCAAGGCTGGGAACATGTGAGACGGCCGCGGCAGGCATCTCTCCCCACATGCAACTGCTGAGTGCACCACAGGGTGGCAGCCACCAGACTGGCGGCACGCCAGCTGGGCGGCGCTGCGCAGGGCCGAGGGCAGCACACTCGCCAGCTGCACCGGCTGGCCCAGGGTGCCGTTGTAGCCCTCCACGTTGTATAGGTGGCAGTGAGAGAAGGCTGCAGGCAGAGCGGGGGAGGTGTGTAAGCGGGTTGTTTTGTGTTGGAGGACGCGGCGGTGGTGGAGAGCGGGCGCCTCCTTGCGCGGCTGGCGCGGCTGGCGGGTGTGATGTGCAGCGCGCCGCCGCCGTGCCGTGCCAACCTTGTTGCTGGGGACGGCCAAGTGGCCCCGTGCATGTGCGAGCGCAGCATTCGCCACCAGACCATGCATGCTCTCCGCACCCCTTCCTGCCCCTCCTCCACCTGCCGCGCACCTTCCACAAGGTAGGCGCCCAGCTGCGTTTGTGGGTACTGCGTATATGCCCACAGACTGCACACCCAGCCCTGCCGCCGCCACTCGGGGTCCGCCAGCGCAGCATGATCATCGTGCAGGCAGCGCAGCGCGCACTCCTGCACGCCACGCAGCACGCGCCGCCCGCAGGCATGGGCGGTGGTGCGCACGAACGTTCGGCGGGAGCCGTGCCGCGCACCACAGGCTGCGGCGCTGCGACCGGCCGCCCAGCCCCTACGGTGCCGGGCCAGGGCGAGCCCTGCGCACCACAGACGACGGCGGCGGCGGCGGCGGCGGCGGCGGCGGCGGCGGCGGCGCACCTCTGGGGAAGCTGCGCTGACGAGGCGGTGCCACTCCCAGTACCCCATGTTACCCAGGAAGCCGATCTCGGCATAGTACAGCCGCTTGCCGCACTCCATCGTGTAAGTGCCCCTTGCCGTGGCGTTCGTCAGGCCCTGGCCTGCGCGGCGTGCGGCGGGGGCGGTCGGGCGCTCTCGCGGCCAGCGGCAGAGGCAGGGAAGCTGGCGGGGAGGCGAGCGATGGCCCGGGAGCGGGCTGTGCGCAAGGAGCAGCTGGCGGCGCCGCCAGGCTGCGTGCTGCAGGCCGCACGGAGCTAAACGCGGCCCGGCTGTCCTGCTTCATGAGTGTGCCCCCCAGCAGCGCTCTGCAAACGCGCCTGCAGTCTCACCTCGCGCGAGGCCGGTGCTGAGAGCGAGCACGCAGAGCAGGGCCGCCAGCCGGGCTGCGCCGCGGCGGCAACCCCGCCGCCGCGGTGAGCCCGGCCGTGCGGCGGTCATCGGAGCAGCTCACGTGCCGCGCAGCGGCCTTGGAGAGAGCTGCTGCACAGGGTGCGACGAGACCAGGGCATGTAGGGAGCGCGCAGTGGTGGAGATGGGGCCCTCGTTGCCCAGGGCTGCGCGGCACAGCCGGCGTGGCGGCCGAAAATCGCGATCTCCGCTGCAGGACCCTTGGCGAGCAAGATGGCCGCGCAAGAAGCTCGGAAGAGGAAGAGCCTCCAGGTGGCGCCTGCTGCGCCCGCTACCCTCTCCCCCTGCCAGAGGCAAACGCGATTGCTGGTGTTACAAGAGATCTGATGGCGGTAGTACAGGGCCGGGGGTGGTAGGTATAGGTATAGGTAGACCCAGACAAACTGAAGGAGGGTGGGAACCGTCGGCAGGCGGCACCAGAGGAACCATCCCGGTGACGGCGGGGGTGGGCGAGGATGGATCCCCAGGCAACAACAAAACCAAATAGGGGGAAGAATCGTGTGCGTCAAACAACTCTGCTACGCCAGCGGTGGTCAGGAGGGTGCCTTGTCGGCACCTCGTGTCAGTCAGTCAAGAGTCAATGGGAGGAGTCAATGGGAAGTCAGATGTCGTCTCATGTGGCACCGGCTCTCATGCCGTGTCCAGGAGAGCGTGCAGACGCATGCGCACGTTGCTGCTAGTCAGCTGCTTGGCGGGGCTGCCGGCAGGCGCCGCCGCCGCGGGCGCGGGCGCCGCCTTGCCGGCCGTCAGCGTCAGCTGCCGCGCCGCCTGTTCGCCGTTCTCCTTGTCGCTCGGGGCCTGCGCCGCCGCAGCCGCCGTAGCGCCGGCAGGCCCCGGCCCCGCCTTGGCTGTGCTGGCCAGCAGCAGGTGGTGCTGCACAGCCATGGCCAGGCTGGTGCCGCCGCCAGACTCGGAGGGTTGCTGCAGGAGCAGGGCCGAGGCGGCGGCACCGGGAGGCCAGGGCGTGGCGGCCGCGGTCAGGCTGCTGGAGCCTGGGGAGCAGATCTGAGGGCGCAGGGAAGAGGGAGGGAGGGAAGCGGGGTGAGGGGTCGTGCCTTGGGGCCACCCAGCCGCAGAGGAAAAATTTCATTGTCGTTGTATGGCTGCAACTCGAGTGCGGCCGCTCGTTCATTGGAGCCCTCACGCCCGCACAGCCAAGCCAGCTCCAGCCGCCTGCCAGCCATCCGCCCGCCTCACCTTGCTCTTCTTCGCCGGGCTCCCCAGCAGCGCGCCAAAGTCAAAGGAGGCCATGGAGGCCAGTCCGCTGCCGCCTGCCGCCGCCGCCATCGGCGCCATGCCAGCCGGCTGCTGCTGGGACCCCGCCGCCGCCGCCGCCGCCGCCGCGTCGGCCTCGCCCAGGCCGTTGCCAAAGGAGGGGGCCGAGTCCAGTCGCCGCGCCACCGAGTGCCGCCTGTCGTCCTCTGAGCCAAGAGCGTCGGCGTCGGCGTGGGCCGCCGCAGCCGCTGCTGCCGCGGCGGCCGCCGCCGCGGCGGCGGCTTGGTCGCTGGCAGCGCTGCCGCCGCTGCTGCTGCCGCTCTTGGCCCAGGGCGGGGTCACCATGCGGCCAAAGCCCGGGGAGCGGAAGAGGTCGTCTGCAGGCAGGCAGGCAGGTGGGAAGGCAGGGAGGCTGTGTCTGTGGTGCGTGTGGGACAGGCTGAGCAGCAGGCAGGGTAAAGTGTGCGTCTATGGTGCATGTGGGACAGGCTGGGCAGCAAGAAGGGTGTGGTGTGTCTGTGGTGCGCGTGGGACCGGCTGCCGGCAGGCAGGCTGGTAATGCATTGCAGGGGATTGGAGAAGAGCACGGCGCAGAGCAGCAGCAGCAGCACAACGGCGGCACGTGGCACCCAGCCCGGGCGGTTGCGCACCCATGACTGCCGGCGGGCTCTGGAGGAGGGTGAGCACGTTGGGTGAGCGCATGCCGAGAGACATGGGGCCGCTGCCGCTGCCTGGGGTGGGGCGCGCGGGCGTGCCTGCAGCGGCAGGCGGCGGCGGCGCTTAGGCAAGGCAGGCAGCCGTGGGATGGCGGTGCCGGGGCATCAAGCATGCACGTCTGTGCAGCGGGGTCTGTCGAGTGGGCAGGCAGCAGGAGGTGGAGGAGGTGGGCCGGGCAGCAGCAAGCTCATCCCTACAGCTGGGGCCGGGCTCTGCTGCGGCTCAGCCCTGTTGCCCAGCCGCGCTGCGCAGCAAGGTTGGCCTCAAGCCAGGCCGCCGCCCCTGGCAGCCTCCAGCTCACCCCTGGCAGCCACTGCGGCAGCGTCTGGAATGACCAGCGGGGGCAGCGCGGGGCCAAAGGCCGACATGCGGCAGGCGGCCGGGCGCTTGCGCCCTGCACGGCGGCACAAGCAGACGGGTCAGCGAGCAGCCGGCAGGCTGGGGGCAGGAGCAGGCACGGACGGTGCTGAGAAAGAAGCGAGGGAGGGAAGCAGGGCAGCCAGCGCGGTGCAGGCAGCAGCTGTCCTGCTGCGCGCTGCCCGGTGCAGCAGGCGCAGGAGGCAAGCTTGGCACACCAGGCAGCCCGGCACAGCGCAGCAGCTGGGTGCGTGCCTGAGCTGCTGGGGGTGAAGAGTGGCGGCGCCTGCGGCAGCCTCGCCCGCAGCGGCGACAGCAGGTCGGCGGTCGCGGCCTCGGCGGCCGCCGCGTGCGGCGCCGCGTTGTGGGTGAGCGCCGGCGAGTCCTCCTGAGGAAAGCACGGGACGGGGCTTCCCTGCTCCAGTCGGCACAGGAAGGTGCAGGCAGAAAATGTGCACGGCAGCACTCCAGTCGGCAGGCAACGGCAGGCTGCACATCAGGTCTGCAGGCAGGCAGGCCGCACCTCGTTGCCCGCTCTGCAGTCTGGCAGCGGCAGGTCCAGCTTGAGCGGGAGCAGCGCCTCTGGCAGCACCACCGACGGCGCCGCCGCCGGCATGGAGCTGGCTGGCGGCGGCGTGGGCACCTGCCCCTCGCTGGCCGGCGGCTGCAGGTGGTGGTGCTGCTGCTGCGGCTGCCGTTGCTTGGGCGCCGGCAGGCCCGCGGCGGCCATGGCCGCGGCCGCGGCAGCTTCCACCGCTGCCGCCACAGCGGTGCGTGAGGATCGGCTGGCCGTGCGGGCGGTGGTCCTGCGAAGCAGGAACTCAGGAGATTCCTCCCCGCTGCCCTCCTCCTCCTCCTCCTCCTCCTCCTCCCCCCCGCTCCAGCTCTCGCCCCCGGCGCTGACAGCCTCCGACACGGTCGACAGGCGGCGCCCGGCGCCCGCCGCCGGCCGCGCCGCCGCCCTGCGCTGCCCGGCATCGGCTGCCGCCGCCGCCGCGCCCTCGGCCGCCGCCGCCGCGAAGAAAGCGAGCGGGTCCACGGCGGCGGCGGCCGGCGCTACAGCTCCGCACGTGTTGGCGGTTGACTGCCGCCGAGGGTCGATCTGCTCTGGTTCCGGCTGGCCGCGCGCCGCCCCCGTGGCCGTGCTGCTGCTCTTGCTGCGGGAGGCATTGGAGCGGCCTGGGCGCTGCAGGCAGGGCGCAGCAAGGCGGGCACAGCAAGCAGCACGGTGGGGTGAGCCAGCAGGGGTGGCTGGCAGGGCCATGGCGGCAGCAGAGGGACGAGTCGCCAACGAAACAGGCAGGCAGGCAGGCGCCTGTTGTGCCCACCTCCGCGTTGGACAGCTGGCACCAGCGTGCGCGGCACTGCTGCGCGGTGCGCCCGCTCATGCTCCTGCTGATGCAGCTCCAAGAGGAGCCTGCGGGGGCAGGCGGGCGTGACGGGGCAGCAAGCCAGGCGGGGTGTAAGATGTAACGCACAGCGGCCCCCCCAGCAACAAACCGCAAATGAGGCCAGCCAAGATAGATCGCAGGTTTTGAAGGGCGCGCAGGCTGGAGAGAGGAAGCAGAGCGAAGGACACGCGGTCCTAAGCAGCAGTTCAATGGTTCCAGGGCACCGTGCGCCGCCACCCTTGCACCCCACACCGCTCACCATATTCTGCAAACAGCTCCCGCAGCTGCTCATCCTCCTCCGCCTCCCAGCCCTCGCGGCGGATGGAGGGATCCAGGTGGCGCCTCCACCGCCCCATGCACTGCTGGTCTGCGCGAGGGTGGCAGGCGAGGGGGCGAGACAGGAGGTGGGCAGGCAGGCCGGCGAGGAGGCAGATGGGTGGGCAGGCAGGTTAGTGGGCCAACGGTTTCTGGGCGGGCAGCTCCCCCGATCCACAGGCGCGCTCCCCCAGCCAGGGCCAGCGCTGCCCACCAACCACAGGCCTTCTTGCTTCCCACCGCCGCCGCCCCGCCACCCACCCGTGCGCCCCGGCAGCCGCCGCGAGATCTCGGCCCAGCTGTTGCCGTGCTTGTCCACCAGCAGTGCCAGCCTGGCATCCTCCTCGGCCGACCACTTCTCCCGGGAGATGTTGGGGTTCACGCGGTGGCGCCAGCGCTGCGCACACTGCTGCCCCGTCTTGCCGGGGATGTGCCGCGCCACCTCGCTCCACTTGTTGCCCACCCGGCCCTGCCACAGCGCGAGCAGCGCATCCTCCTCGTCCGTCCACACGCCGGGCTGCAGAGAGAGGAAGGGGGAGGGGGTCGGGACACGCTGGGGCTCACGGCAAGGAACGAGAGGAGGGCACGGCTGGGAAAGAGGTGGGCGCGGGTGGCGGGCCTCCCCGCGGCAGGCGCGTTGGGCCGTGCGGCCCGGTGCGCGGGGCTGATCGGCTCGCTGGGGTGCTAGAATTGGCCGCGGGCGGGTGCAGAACCACCAACGCAGCGCCAGGCACGGGGGTGCCAAAACTCGCACCTTGTTCTGCTTTGCCGCGCTCGCCATGGCCCCCGCGGTCACCGGGAGGATACGGTGATGGGTCTTTGGGTCGCTTGCGGGGCTGACCAGCGCCGTAGGGGGTCAAGGATTCCCTCCTGCAGGTTTGAATCGCGCACCACCGGCGCAGCTGCCCAGCTGCCCAATTCAAAGCAGTGCGATCCACGATCGATTTGGCACTCCAAGAGGTGCCTGCGCGCCTGCCAGCGCGACTGGAAAGAGGGCGCCCACCCATGCAGCTCGCAGCAGGCACTCCCATTGGCCTTGCGGCGCCATTGGAGACGCGTGGTGCTTACAGTTTGGGGCTGCCCTCGTCCCGCGGCAGGGTGGCTGGGGTGCGGCGGCGCCGGGACACCGCCGCCAGAGTTGCGGGCGGAGAGCAGGGGCTCTCCCCAGGATTGATTCATATGACTGCTGGCGGGGCAGCGCCCCAAGGCAGTGCTGCAGGCTGCGCTAGGGCAGCAGCAGGGGCCGCCACAGCCGGCGCCGCCGCCCGATTTCTTTGCGCTGGCCTTGCGCCAGCTCCGAGCCTCGCTGCCCGAGTGACGGCGGGGGCGGGGCCGTGGCGGCGTCTGTTGGCGGCCTCGGCGGCCAGCCACAGCCTGTGCAAGCATCCCCTGCCTCACCCCTTGCGTTCCTGTGTAATGTGTGTCGTGTGTGTGGCGTGCGGCGGCAGCAGCAGGAGGGCGAGAGAGCCCGGCAGCCGCCAGCGCACCCCCACGCCCTCCCTCACGCGGCGCTTCACCCTCTCGCTGCCGCTGCCGGTGCCATCCTGCGGTGTGGGTTGTCAGGAGGGGATTGACTTGCCTCAAAGGGCTGTGTTGCAGCTTGTGGGGCCTCCTTGTTACAGCTGCAACAGGCGGCGGCGACGTGGCGGTGGAAAGGTCAGCCTAGGCACTGCCTTCTGGCAGAAGCAGGCCCTGGCACAGCACAGTGGCTCTGCTGCTCTGCCTCTGCACGCTCAAAGCCTTGGACGAGCCAGGCAGAGCCTCCAGCCGCACCTAGGTTCTCGTGGCTGCCACAGCTCCTCTGCTCTCTCCTGCTGGCTGCTGCTCCGGGCTCACCTGGCGCCTGGCGTTTGCCTGAAGCACACATCAGGCAAGCCGGCTGATGCCGTCGCGAGCAGGCGCCCGCTCCTCAGCCGCCGCCGCTCTTGGACGCTGCCGCTCACCACGGCTGCCTCTTCCTGCAGATGAGCTGGCTGGTGGAAACAATCTTGGCCGTGGGGCGTAATGACGGGCAACGGCTGAAGGCAGCATTAAGCCAGCAGCCCAGCCTACTCACCTATAGGGACAGCGCCGGCTTCACGCTGCTGCACAGGGCAGCAGCCGCGGGAAGCACAGAGTGCCTGCGGCTCTTGCTGGTGGCTGGCGCTTGCACCGAGGCGACCGTCACTGAGGGGCGCCACAGCTCTGTTCTGGGCGGCGCTGGAGGGCCATGAGACCTGCGTGCGGGAGTTGCTGGCAGCGGGGGCAAACTTTGAAGCAGCTGGCACCAATGGGGCGAGGCCGCTGCACGTTGCGGCCCTGAGAGGCCACCTGGGCTGCCTGCGGCAGCTGCTGGACGCTGGCGCCAACTGCGACGCCGTGTATGATGATGGGCAAACGGCATTAATGCTGGCATCCAGTCAGGGGCATGCATCATGCCTGCAGCCGTTGCTGGCAGCGGGGGCCAGCATCGATGCAGCAGACCGGGATGGGCAGACAGCGCTGCTGCTGGCAGCTTGGCCGGGCCACGCGGCATGTGTGCAGGCATTGCTGGCAGCAGGACCAAACATTGATGCAGCAAACCGGCATGGGCATACAGCGCTGCTGCTGGCAGCTTGGGTGGGCCACGAGGCATGTGTGCAGGCATTGCTGGCAGCGGGGGCAAACATTGAGGCGGCTTGCAGTGAAGGGCTGAGGGACCTGCATTTTGCAGCAGGGCGTGGGCACACGGCATGCCTCAGCCTGCTGATCGCTGGCCGTGCCAACCTCGAGGCAGCCGACAACCACCAGCGGACAGCCCTGCACTGCGCAGCAGAACGCGGCTGCCTGCCAGCCATTCGCTGCCTGGTTGCAGCAGGGGCGAGCATGGCGCTGCAGGATGTGGAAGGCCTCACCCCTCGCATGCGTGCAATCATGGATAGCCAGCTGGAAGCAGCACGGCTGCTGCTGGAGCTGGAGCAGCAGCAGGCGGGATGGCGGCAGCGAGGTGCCCCCAGCAGCAGGGCCCCACGCTGGGAGCAAGCTGAGGCCCGGGGGACTGCCCCAGCCTCCTCAGCTGCTGCCGAGGCTGCAGCTGAGGCTGCTGCTGCCCAGCTGCTGGCAGAGGAGGAGCGCGAGGAGGAGGAGCAGGCAACCAGGCAGGCCGCCAAGGCCGCCAAGCGGCAGCGACAGAAGGAGCGGCAGCGCCAGCGGGCTGCTGTGTCGGCAGGAGAGGCGGATGAGACTGCCACAGGCCAGGCGGCGGTGCCAGCGCCGGCTTCTCAGCAAACAGTAGGTGCATCAGCTGCAGCTGCAGGTGCCTCCACGCCAGCAACAGTAGGTTTCGAGCCGGCAGAGCAGCTCTGCCCTGCTGCCTACCGAGCTATGCCCGCAATGCCTGCTGCTGCTACTGGCAGCCAGCACGGCAGCGGCATGAAGCAGAGCAAGAAGAAGAAGAACAAGGGAGGAGCGCAGACGGCGGCAGCGCAACCACACACCCAGGCAGCAGGTGGAAGCGCTGGTGCCACACCCACATGGGGAGCTGAAGGGGCACCTGCAGAAGCAGCAGCGTCAGCGGCTGGAGGCGGCAGCGGTGTCGACGACGGTGCCGAGCTGGCGCATCTGCTGCAGCAGCTAGGGGTGGAGGCAGCAAGGGAGAGCCCCTCCTCCGCTGCTGTCAGCAATCCGCTGCAAGCCACGAGCGCGGCAGCAGGAGAAGAGGCACCAGCGCCAGCCAGCCCCGCCCCGGGCGCTGCGCCGGCAGGCCAGGCCCCTCTTCCTGCCGCTGCCAGCCTGCCCCCTGGCCTGCTCAGCGAGCTGCTGTGCCCCATCACCCAGGAGCCGATGCGTGACCCCTTGGTGGCGGCGGATGGGCACACCTACGAGAGAGCCGTGGGTGAGATTGCTACAGGCCAGGCTGCGGTGGCAGAGCCGACCCCGCAGCAGGCAGTAGAGGCGGTGGAAGCAGGTGCAGGCACGCCCAGGCCAGCAGCGGCAGCAGCAAGCGCCAGTGCCGCACCTGTGCCAGCGAAGAGGCCTCCAGAAGAAGCGGCGGTGGAGGCAGCCAGAGGCAGCAGCTCAGCAAAAGAGAGCTCACCAGCACCAACAGCACCTGCCGCACCTGAAGCAGGAGCAGCTTCCACGGCAGAGACGTCAACCACAGCAGAAGCGGCAGCAGTGGTTGCACCCGCGACAGCAGCACCCGCTGCCCCCTCCTCGGCAGCGGCAGGTGTCAGGGTGTGCGCAGCAGAGGGCTGCGGCAACACGAGCGGCCTGCATCGTTGCAGCGGGTGAGCTGTGCCCTGGGTTGCAGCGGCAGAGAGGCTGTCACCCCTGGGGCTTGCCCTGTGTTGTTCCGCAGGCTGCCTGCCTGCCTGCCTGGAGTTCGATGCTTCCGTGCACTGGCCGCCTGCTTGCTGCCTGCAGGCGCAGGGCTGTGAGGTACTGCAGCGAGGCCTGCTCCCACGCGCACGGGAAAGCGCACAAGGCAGAGTGCCGGCGCCTGCGCACCGCTGCGGGGGTTGCGCAGCCCTAGACCCCAGCCACTAGCCCTGTGGCGCCCGCCTGCCAACACGGTTGCGCCGCCTGGCCGCCTGCACACCACTTGGAGCCAGCCCGTGTGGCAACCCTTTTCTGCCACGCTGCTGCGTGTGAAGCCCTTTTTTGTTCTGCTTGTTTTGTTCTGCTTGTTTCCAAGGCGCTGCTCTTCGACACGAGAATTCAAAGTGGGAGAGGTCTGGCCTCGCCTGGCCACCAGGGCCACTTCATCTTGCCCAGCCGCAGCCACGGCGCAGCAGGCAGTCTGAGCGGCATGTGTGGGGTTGACGGGTTGCCTGCCCCTGGGGCCGAGCCAGCACCGCCACATTGTGAGGTGAACGAAGCTGTGGCAGCCCCACGTCTGCTCACCCCAGCAGCCCCGCCGCTTGGGTTCCCGCCAGCAGGCTGCCACCAGTGCCAGCGCGAGGGCAAGGCCGAGGTACGCAGTTGGTGGGTAAGAGCGAAGCAGGCACCCACCCCGCCGCCGCCTGCAGCACGATCCACACCGCGCGGGAGAAGGGCAGCAGGCAGCTCACCGGGCGCCACTGCCCACCTGCGCTGCCACACAAAGCTGGACTGCCGCACCGGTTCCACCCCGACCGGTGCGGCTGGGGTGGCTGTGTGCAGCGCCGAGGCGTTGGCTGCCGCTGGCTGGCTGCTGCCGCTGCTGCCTGTGGAAGAATACAGGTGGGAGTGCCAGCGAAGGAGGAAGGAAGAGCGGCGGCAAAGCGGCAACCAGCCTTGGTTTGGGTGCACTTTGTTGCACGCTCCTAGGCGCTTGTGGCGAGGCTGCTGGTGCGTTGCTGGCCAGGCACGGCAGGCTGACAAGGGGCTGGGGAGGGCACAGGTGCAGCAGGAGGGTCCACCATCGCCCTGGCTGTCGAAGGCTGGCCGCAGCTGTATCCTGCAGCTGCACCTGTGTGCACCGCCCTGCCAGCAGCCCCGCCCCAGCAAGCCAAGGGGCAGAGGACCAGCCAGGTGCCACAACCCCACAATCGGTGCTTTGCCCCTCGCCCACCCCCCGCCTCTCTTTGTACTGTGACCCCCCCCAACACCCCCGCCCACACCTCACTGTACACAGCAGCTTGTTTCCCAGTGTCAAAGGGTGGTGTTGAATAACACCAGTTTGTTTTTTTGGTGGTGAAGGGATGAGCCGTCAGCTGGAGAGAGAGCGCCGTGCGCTTAAGCGCGCTCGCCACGGATGCGGCGGGCCAGCTGGATGTCCTTGGGCATGATGGTGACGCGCTTGGCGTGGATGGCACACAGGTTGGTGTCCTCGAACAGGCCCACCAGGTAGGCCTCGGCGGCCTCCTGCAGCGCCAGCACGGCGCTGGACTGGAAGCGCAGGTCGGTCTTGAAGTCCTGGGCAATCTCACGGACCAGGCGCTGGAAGGGCAGCTTGCGGATCAGCAGCTCCGTGGACTTCTGGTACTTGCGGATCTCGCGCAGGGCCACGGTGCCGGGCCTGTAGCGATGGGGCTTCTTCACGCCGCCGGTGGCGGGGGCCGACTTGCGGGCGGCCTTGGTGGCCAGCTGCTTCCGGGGCGCCTTGCCACCGGTGGACTTGCGGGCGGTCTGCTTGGTGCGGGCCATGGTGCTGGGGGTGGGGGTGGGAGAGGGGCGGAGGAGTGGTGGCTGTGGGCGGCTGTCGGGGGTGGTTTTGTGCAGGGGAGGCAAAGTGAGGCACCCAGTGGGGGCCACCTGGTGAGGTACGGCCGCTGGTGCACCATCCACAGGCACCGCACCAGCAGGCGGCCAGGGATTAGCACGTCCCGC